GTGCCCCGGGCAGCGTCCAGCCCTTCTACCCCAGCGGCCCCCGCTCCAGCATCACCCTCCTATGGGTTGTGCTTGCCAACATGAGCGCAGATGCTGAGCTCCTCCCCGCAGGTGCCCTGGCAGTGAGCGTCCCCATATGGACGGCTTCCGAGGTGCCCCCCAACACCAGCGCCTCGCTGGTGGACATGGGCTGGCAAGGGGAGGCGGAGTGGGGCGGCAAGGCGGGAGAGATTGCGGGCATGGTGGTCATACAGTGCATCTATGCCCTGGTGTGCCTGCTGGGGCTGCTGGGCAACTCCCTGGTGATCTTTGTCATCCTGCGCTACGCAAAGATGAAGACGGCCACCAACATCTACTTGCTCAACTTGGCCATTGCTGATGAACTCTTCATGCTCAGCATCCCCTTCGTGGCCACATCAGCTGCCCTGCACCACTGGCCCTTTGGCCGGGCTCTGTGCCGTACCGTGCTGGGTGTAGATGGCCTCAACATGTTCACCAGCGTCTTCTGCTTGACCGTGCTCAGTCTGGACCGCTACATCGCCGTGGTGCACCCGCTCCGAGCAGCCACCTACCGCCGTCCTCGGGTGGCCAAGATGGTCAACGGGGGCGTGTGGCTGCTCTCCTTGCTGGTAGCCTCACCGATCCCCATCTTTGCTGGCACCGCCACCACCCACGACGGCCAGGCAGTGGCCTGCAACCTGTTGTGGCCAAGCCCCGCCTGGTCAGCTGCTTTCGTGGTCTACACCACCCTGCTGGGCTTCCTGCTGCCGGTGCTAGCCATGGGCCTGTGCTACCTGCTCATCGTGGGCAAGATGCGGGCGGTGGCGCAGCGGGTGGGCTGGCAGCAGCGCCGGCGCTCGGAGGGCAAGCTCACGCGGCTGGTGCTCATGGTGGTGGCCATGTTCGTGGTGTGCTGGATGCCCTTCTACGTGGTGCAGCTGGTGAACCTCCTGCTGCCGGGCCGCCTGGACGCCACCGTGAACAACGCCTCGCTCATCCTCAGCTACTCCAACAGCTGCGCCAACCCCATCCTCTACGGCTTCCTCTCGGAGAACTTCCGGCACTCCTTCCACGGCGTGCTGCGGCGCTGCGTCGACGCCAGCCTCTGCTGCTGCCACGCCGACTCGGACACGGCGGAGGCGGAGGAGGAGGAAGAGGAGCCTCTCGACTACTGCGCCGTCCCGCGCGGTGATGACAAGAGCAAGGGCTGCATGTGCCCGGCGCTGCCCTGCCAGCAGGAGCCTGTGCACCCCGAGCCCTGCTGCAAGCCCGGCACCCTCCTCACTAAGACCACCACCTTCTGAGGACCTCTATGTGGGCATCCGCATCAGGCACCCTGCCTCATCATGGCCAAGGGAAGGACGAGCAAGCGCCATGAGAAATCCCCGTGCCTGCTGCAAGGAGCGACTCCAGCCTGCACGGTACCCCCAGCGCAAAAGGACCTTGCTGCTCCCTTCCTTGCTTGCCTCCTGCTTTGCACCAGCGGTGGCATCGCAGGACTCCAGGAATTACTTCTCCTGCAAGGACCTGTGGGAAGTCCCCCTGGAGATGTCTGCTTTCCCTTTGTCCCTTCTGCTGTGCTGGACTCTCTGTGGGGTTCCCTCTGTCCTCACGTTTCTTGGGAATCTACCAGGCCAGAGCAGCTGGAAGCACTGGGTCCAAACCCTGCAACAGGTATTCTCATCGTGACTTTTCCAGCTGCTTTCTCTGGGAATAAGACCCAACTCCAGGCTGGGGTGTCAAATACGAAGGACAGAGCCTCTCAGCACCTCCTGGCCCTTGAGGAAGGCAGTCAGAGGGGACAGCTGCAGGGACAGCATGGGGACAGCCATCTGCAGAGCGCACGGGGGCTGCATTGACCCAGCTGCGCTGGGTTATGTCCCCCTGGCTCAGGGTGACACGATGGGAGCTCTGCCCTGGACACGGGGTCGAGAGGTGCCGGGTTTGGGTGGGCGGCCGCGCGCGTGCGAGTGAGGAGAACTGAGCAGAGCAGAGTCACACAGAACTGATCTGCCACCGGGCAGGGAGCACTGGAGCTCTTCGGGTGTGCTGTGCAGCTCAGCTAAATAAAAAGCCATAACCCTGGCCCCCAAGGTGGTTCATAGCATCTACCGGGTAGTTATCGCCATCGCCCTCACTGCCTGGGGAGGCGGCCAAGCTCCTGCACCCGTGTGAAGGACCCATTGCTCTGCATAGTCCACGCGTGCCAGGGAAAGGAGCCCCGGGGGCCTCAAGGGTCCTGGTTTTTAGAGCATGAGCATGGAGCAAGCTCGGGCAGCGTCCCTGCAGAGCGCTGGTATGGGACACGTGGCTCACTAGTGCCTAAGGCTCGGGAGTTTCTTAAAAATATATATATATGTGCATATAGACATATACACACACAAACATATATCTATATATATGTGGAATGCACAGGGTGGTGCTTAATAAAGCTGCAAATATCATCCCTGGCGTGGGGGCCAGGGCTACTCCATCCAGGCTCTGGGGTCCGTGGGGACCCCCATGCTGGGCCCTCGGCTTTGCAAACGTGGCAGTGCACCCAGAACCACCGAAACAAGCGCACACCGTGGGGCTGGGTCCCTCTGCAAGCTGCATTTGGAGGGGGGAAAAAGAAGGGACGAGAGGAGCATCCTCTGGGTAAACTCTGCTCCTTGCCACTGTGTTAGAGGTGGGTTGAGAAATGGTTATTAATCCCTTTAACTCACCGCCCCTTCCACCAAGTCCAAGTGCTGACCTGGGGGTTTGTTGTGACCTCCCTCCGGTTAGTGTCCCCCTCAGCAACTTACTGGCATTTTCACCTTTTTCTGCTTTGCAAGTAAGACTTTGCTCCAGGGCAAAAGAGTGAAAATCAGTGTTTTAAGGGGCACCCCGTGGACCACACTGCTGCTGACACCAGCACGGACCAGGACCCAGTGGCCTCTGGGCTATGGCCATGGTGGGGGTGACTGCTGATAGGGGACAGGAGGGTCCCCAGGAGGGTCCCCACTCTCATATTAAACCAAGAGCTGGTGCTGCAGGAACACCAGGAGGGAGCTCCTGCAAACTGAGGGAAAGGGTGACTTCAAAGTGGACTAGTGAGTCTGAGCAACATCATGGGGCTGACACTCATCAGAATTAAAAAATGAAGTAAAATAAAATGAAATAAAATAAAATGAAGTAAAATAAAATAAAATAAAATAAAATAAAATAAAATAAAAGCATGCTCGTGCTCCTCAGAGCAGTGGAGGCCCTAACGTTATGACAGACAAATGCTCTCTGCCCTCAAGGAGATGAAAAACAAGACATGGGGGAGAGCAAATGAGATTAAGGCCACTTGAGTTCTGAGAGTTGCGCACTGGGGTTTATTGCTTTTTAGCTACTCCAGAACCTGCCTGCTGTTCCCATATGCCTCCTAACAGACAGACAGAAAGACAGACCTTTCCCTGTAAGAAATGCTGTCCCTTGCCCTGAAAACCGTGCAGCTCCAGAGGAATTCCAGCTCCTTTTGTGTTTTGTTCGCCCTACTGCACCCTTCATTACTAATATGCTAGAGTCAATTAAATTATTGATGCTGACTCTGCTGCATGCATGTAGGGCTGTATCCCACACTCCATATTCCCAAATATACTTTCAAATAACTGAGTGATCAGAGTTGGAGGCTACGTAAGAGATGTAGCCCCAAATCTCTGCATGGAGCCTTTTTATTTATTTATTTATTTGGTGGTTAAACCCAGACTGGCAGGTCCTTAGGCTGCTTTGCAGGTAACCACTGGTTCAAGAGCCTTGCTTTGAAGGAGGGCAAGAACGTTCTTCACTTCGCAGGCAGAAAATACTGAAGCATGGAGCATTTGGAGGGATGTGACAAAATCCCACAGCCAAAACAACAAGGGGGTCCTCAGGGCTACAAGGCCTGAGCCCCCTGGTGCTGCCTGGAGCTTACAGGGCGGAGCAGTGCTTCTTGTATCGCACTAAGGAACCCTGAAAAATTCTGCTGTTTTCCACTGGAAAAAAAAAAAAAAAACAGACTCATCTCTAGATCAGAAACAGGCCTGAGAAAAGCAGGTCAGAGGAAAAAAAAAAAAAGCTGAATGCCAAAATTCGAAGCAGTTGGAGAAGAGGAATTTCAGCAGAGTTGTGTTTCAGTGCAGCTTCAGTAAGGGCTGAGGAGCCCAGCACCTCTCTCTGTCTTCCAGGAAAAAACTTTCAATTGCCACAAATAAAATCCATCCTCCTCTCTCCTCCTCCCCCCAAAAAATCCATCTCCTGGACCTCCTCGGCAAAGCAGGCATCAGACCAAGCCTGCATTTTCTATGAGAAAACTGAAGGGCACCAAGTCTTGTTTGCTCCATTTCCCACAGCTCCTTTTCTATTTCCAATGGGTTTGTGATTTCCGACATTAGGGGGGAAAAAAAAAGGAACATTTCACTACCAGATTTTTATAAACCAGATAGCAAAAGCTTTATTGGTCTACACACAAAATCACAGGGTGTTTGTGCATCGCGTAGGGTATACTTCCAATAAATAAATAAGTATTTACAAACGTGCTGGGTGTACGAAAACAGTGGATTGAGCCTTTTCCATCAACAAAACTACAGCTTGCAAAAACATTATTTATTTTCCTTGCCCGGTCATTCTGGCACATGAGAGGGAAAAAGGAAGAGGAAGAAACACAGAATCCTCGGAGTGCGGCGTTCCGGACACACAACCCGCCGGCGCCGCGCGTGCCCCATTCTCAGCTGCTTTGCAAGCAGCAGTCCCGTCGAACAGACTTTTCCCAAACTCCAAACTCAACTTTCTGCTGGGAAACCCAGCAAGGACTGCGTGCAGCTCCCTCGTGGCCATAAACCTGCTGGTAAAAGCCGGGTGGCTGCCTGTGGGGGCTGGCACGCAAGCAGGCATCGCCTGCACCCGAGATAAGGCCAAGCGTGTTTTCTTGCACGATGCATTTGCTGGCACCGCGCTGCGTTTGCGGCACTTCCCAAGCCCATTGCCTCATGGTTTTATAAAAGACCCGGAAAAATACACAGAGCAGCTTCCCAGGTTTTCTCTCCGTCTGTGGCTGGAAGGACAACACGGGGCTGGGTCCGGCTCCTGCTGGAGCCACTGGAAGTCCTGCCACCGGCTCCAGTTTCGCCTCAGCCCTGATCCTGGCAGGACTAGAGGAAAAATGGGAAAAAAAACCCTTTGCCAGCAGGAGCAGGCTGGTCAGCAGGCTCAACAGCCACATTTTAATGCAGCAGCGGGAGAAAGTCCCAGCAGAAAATTGCATGGAGGCACAAGGCACAGTCGGCTCTGGAAAGCCCTTTCCTGAAAACTGACTCCTGCTATCCCCCTTTAACCCTTGCCCCTCCACCCAAAGCTGTAAGAAGGAATAAAAAAATCATATGTATTAGCCCTCAAACAGCAGGGTCCCTGCTCCTGCTTTTGGCTTTATGCAAAAAGCGCCCAGCTGCTAGAGGTGACACAGACGGAAAGGAAAGCACAGGGAATTTCTGCCAATGATGCAGACTGGCACAGGCAAGCCAGGAGAAGTGCTGGGCCAAAGGATCTTTGCTACTGCTTTCATAATTAACCAGTTTAAAAAAATTAAACTGAACCTAAACAAACGCAGGAGCATCCCCCGCTCCTCGCTGTCCCTGGAAACCCTTTACCTCTGGGCAGGTGGCTCATTTCAGCTGAGGAGAAGCTCAGGTGGCCTTGCTGACAACCACCAGGCAAGAGCGCGTGCCAGGTCCATCGCCACGGATTAAATAAGTCTATATCGCGTGTGTGCTCTTGGCTCCCCATCAATGCCAACTCGAAGGACAGGTCCCAGCGGAAACATTCCTCCCCAAACACACGCACATGTGGAGGGCCCTTCCTCGAAGCTCCGCGCTGGCCGCTGAGCCGGGCAAAGGGAAAAGCCGAGGAAAGTCCGGCACTTCGTGCACAGGGAGCGGGGATGGAGCAGCTCCGGACAGCACCGTGTGCTTCTCATCCTCCCCAGCCTTCGCAGCAGGTATTGCCGATGCTAGCAGAAACACGGCCATTTTGGAAGGGTGGGGGCCATCACAGCTTTTCCTAAAACCCCTTTTTCTTCCTTAAAAACGTGAAAAAGATTTAAACCAGTCCCCTTCACCTCCCTCTCTCCGCTCTGCCCAGCTCCACTACAGTTTCCGGCTGGAAGAAGCACACGCTGGCGTCACCTGATGAAGTCCCATCTCCTTTTCCGTGCTGCCGCTGCACTTGTAATCCATGCTGGAAGGGGACCCGCAGCGCTTCTTCACCAGGTGGCACACCAGGACCAGCAGGACCAAAACCATGGAGAGGATGCCCACCGTGATGC